GTATGGTATGGTATGGTATGGTATGGTATGGTATGGTATGGTTTGGTGTTTTGTAAGAAAATGTTGCCACAAACGTCTCTTTGCGTGACGTTGGGACAATTCGTGGTTGTAACATCTGAAGACGGATAAAAGAGCCAAGCAGCTCAGACGTAAACTTTTTGCTTTTCATTTGGAAAGTTTTTGGACTGGTTCCCAACACTCCTCATTTACCAGATCACCAAGAACATCAGCGGTCACAAATGTTGGGTTTATGAGACCATGATGGATGGATCTGAAAGACCAGCAGAACCACATCATCTCATGAACCCCTGAAGTTCAGGCACCATCCTTTCCAGGTCTGAGCCAATCCTGTCCATAAACACCACAATCCATTCTGTGGTTTGTGAGATATTTTGCTAACAGACACCGGCAATTACATGATCGCCCATCTTTAGTGACAAAGCGGAAGTAAAGGGGTCCAAGCCTGTGTTCTGGGACCCAAAGAGACCAATCCAGCGGTTCGGCGCACTGGTCAGACCAGAACAGGAACTTGTCATAAAGTTAAAACACAACTTTAAACTGATGATTTCTAAAATGATTCTTAAAAAACTTAAACACACAATAAAGTTTGAGACACTAATCTTGAAAGTGGGCACAGATTAAACCGAACTCCGTGATCAGATTCAGATTTTATTCTGGACTAAGATTATAAAGAGACTCACCTCCGGTTCTTTGTGCCGCTGACAGGATCCAACTTCCTTAACAGATGAATGAAGCGTGAAGTGAGAGATTAGTTTACACCCATTTCCACATCATCATCATCATCATCATGGCACGGAGGAGACGCGCGCACCCGGACGAGCCTGGCAGGTTTTACGCACGGCGTCACGGAGTCGAACAGCTGATTCCACTTCGTAGAAACACCAAGAACCGGAAGAAAAAAGAAAAAAAAATTAAATTTTGAGACTGAGGTGTAAATATTATTGACAGTAAATAATGACAATGTGACAATGTGACGTTTCACATTGTTGGGAAAAGAGTGATCTCACGCGCTCCTGACCCTGACTGGTTCCTGTTGGGCTGGAGTTTTTGGATCTGAGGGTAACTTTACTGATAACTACCAAACATGAACTGTTTTAGCTGAAGCAGGTGGATCTGGTCCTCCTCCTGCAGCAGAGCCATGTTTATCCTCTTCGAGCCATAAATGAAGGAAATTACTCGACATCACAGAAAAACCTGGAAGCTGAAGCTGCTGGATGATCCCAGTCCAAGTTTAAAGTCCTGCAGCTCCATGGAAACAAACTTTGTTCTTGGGAAAATAAAAAATTAAGTCTGTGATAGTTTTTTTTTCATCAGATGACTGATGCTTGAATATTTACTTCTTTAATAATTGTTGCTGTATTTAGTTACGAGGGGAGCTGGCTGTGTTTAACAGTTTCTACAAAGACAAGACGGCGTTCAGCTTCGCCTCTCGTCAGCTGCTGGCTGTGCCAGGGCCTCAGAACTAGTTTGCTGTCATCTGAAAAGCTCTGACCTCCAATCTTCTTCATCTCTCGCCTCAAAATAATCTAAATGTAACTGGTCCCACCTCTGCGTTGTGCTGTAAGGATTAGGCCGTGACACGGTTCATCTTGGGCATGGTTGGTTTCCCCATTTATTCTCTCTGACGAAAACAACAAACAAAAACGACCACGTTATTGTCCGTCCGCTCCAAGTCCTCTCCTGCAGGGCAATACCATAGAAGAAGAGATAAGAAGCAGGGGCTCCCGATCTTAAATTCACACGCTTATAACAATCGCAGTGTTTCTAAAGTGTTTACAGTCAGATATATGTACAACACAAATAACAAAATACATTTTTTTTGTGTAATTATAACAAAATACAAATACAACCGGGTTACATAAAGAAACATCAGATTCTGTCTGATGTTGGCCGTTGAAGCAGCGCTCTGTTGGCGTGCAGGCGTTCACTTCTGGTCACGCCACAGGCGCCTGTTTAGTCACGTTTACCATATCATTTTATTTACAGAGCACTTTAAGCAGCGACAGGAACAACCAACGTGCTGTACAAACAGAAACAAACAGGCAGAGCACACAGCAACACATAACATAACGTAAAATCAAAATATAGAAACAACATAATAACATAATGACTAACACGGTGTGATGCATTCAGGTTCAGCACAGATCATACAGTGTTGAAAGCCAGGGAATAGTAGTGGGTTTTAAGCGGGATTTAAAAACTGTGAGGGAGGGGGGCCTGTCTGACAAGCAGAGGTAACTCATTCCAAAGTCTTGGTCCTGCGACAGAGAAGGCCCTGTCACCTCTGCGCTTAAGACGAGTTCCTGGAACTATGAGATGCAACTGGTCCGCTGATCTCAGAGAACGTGGTGGGACATATGGCTGCAGCAGATCAGTGAGATAGGAGGGTGCAGAGCTGTTCAGTGATTTATAGACATGCAGGAGTATTTTGAACTGGAACGTTTGTCATCGTAGTGTTTCTCAACATCTCTTCATATCAGTGTTTTCAGTGTTAACGTGATCTTTACAGTAATGTGCTCGTATCGACACACATCTTTGTTGTCGCAGGAACTTTAAAGCCCCACGTCTGTGCTGCGCTGACTCCTGGCAGCTGCTGTAAACGGCTGGCTTCAACGACCTGATGCAGGGACGGCTGGTCAGGTGTTCGAGTCCATGACTGTGGCTGAAGCAGGAGCGGCCATGTTGTATTTCTTGGACCAGTCTGTGCACTTGAGGTTTAAATCCCGCCCACTTCCTGGACTGTTTGTTTACATGAAGGAGGGGCGTTCAACACGTGATTATTTCACGGGGACTGTAACGGCTCTGGCTTCAACTTCCAGGTCCTTGAATGGAATCTAGTAACTCACAGAACCTGTTTCAGTCTTTCACAGTCGAAGTCTCAAACATTCAGCTCAGTGCAAACCTCAAAAAACTCCCTCTAAACAACTGAAATGTATAAAAATACATCACTGCTGTTCAGTAAAACGAGCCTGGACCAGCAGGAACTGTGAGGAAGTTTTATTTATTCTTGAAACAACACATCTCAAGCGTTTTAGACAAACTGACGTCAAACAATGAGGGAAACGACTCGTGGTGACTGTTAATTATGAATACTGTGTTTTCGGTTTCTCCTTTCAGTTAATCCAAAAAATAAAAATTAATTAATAATCTTTTTCTGACAAAAGTGTTGAACAGCCTTTGGAAGAATGCATCAAATTTTAGCTCAGTATCCATAAAACTGAATGACTTATGGACATTCATATGCTGGATAATTTTAACTAGCTGTGGCGGCCATCTTAAATTAAGCTGCCTTCAAATGATAATCAGTTGTATATGTGCATATAAAGATTATTTCCTGAAAGTTTCATCAAAATCAATCCAGTGACTCATGAGGAATTTTGCTAACAGACACAGACATGGGCAGACAAAATGGATAGTCTGTGTGTAAAATCACTAACGTCATCCCTGTTGCCTCCTGCTTGGGTTTTCATTTTAAGAACAAACATCTAAAGTGGCTTCATTCATTACTGAACTCACTGTCAACAGTTTACTTTTAACTTCTTCTTTTTAGGGACGTTTATTCATTGTTAGCAAATCAAGGTTACAGTTTCTTGTTCCTAACTTTGGCCCAGTTTGTGCATCTGGTTGTTGTGACACCGAGAATCTTACAAAAAGTGCAACCCACAGTTCTGCTGGAATCTGCAGCAGACACACTGAAGACGAGCTGCGGCAGCAAGAACGAACTGGACTGGAGCTAAAATAAAAAAAACACAAAAACAGAGTTTACACAAAACAACGTTCTGAAAGTGACTCGCTGTTGCTGCGTGGAGAGGAACAACGTACAGTCGCCTGACAGTTTGTGAGCTTAAAGTGGAAATTCAGAGATTTCACCCTCACTTCCTCGTTCTGTCGTCATGAGGCGAGAACGACCTGACGGGATCTGCTTTGGACTTGGACTGCAGGAGCATGTATATTATGTACCAGTATATATATTATATATGTACTGTATATATTTTATATGGGTCCACTGGAACCACTCTTGAACGGTCTCGGTGACATTAAAGTCTGGTTAAAACTAAATTTCCTGAATTTAAATGAAAATAAAACTGAAGTCATCAGCTTTGGTGAATGTACTGCTCCTGACTCTCTTGGCTTCATGCAGCCACTCTGCTGTCAGGAACCTGGGAGTTATTTTTGTGCTCTTAAATTAGATATAAATACGTTTATCTGTGAAATCCAGTTTAAGACTCACGCTGAAGTCTTGTCTCCCTTTCAGAGACCTGAAGAGACTCTTCAGTTGCAGCTCCTGTGGTCATTAACGGTGAAGCTGTCGAGGTGGGGCATCAGTAGAAATACCTGGGAACTGTTCTTGATGACAAACTGACCTTTGACCCCCATGTGACCTCACTTTGTAAGAAGGCCCACCAGAGAATGTATTTTTATCTGAAGCTCGGTGGTTTAATGTTGATTCAACTTTTATGAGAATGTTTTATTGAGTCTCTTTTAACTTTCACCTTCATCTGTTGGTTTGGACTTTTGACATGAAAAACAGGAACAAACTCTCGGGGATAGTCAGGATGTGCAGCTAAACTGCTGGCATAGCCCTACAGAACCTCACTGACCTACAGAACCTCACTGACCTACAGAACCTCACTGACCTACAGAATCTCACTGACCCACAGTACCTCACTGACCTACAGAACCTCACTGACCTACAGAACCTCACTGACCTACAGAACCTCACTGACCCACAGTACCTCACTGACCTACAGTACCTCATTGACCCACAGAACCTCACTGACCTACAGAACCTCACTGACCTACAGAACCTCACTGACCCACAGAACCTCACTGAC